GTCCTTGTGGACCGATTGTAAATTAATCATCTCTCTTCTTGTGTATTTCTACAATGACTGTAACAAAATGCCATAAAAAAATACAGCATTCGAGCTCTTTATGACAAGAGATTTCCTGCGTGTGGTGGCACATGCTTGTAATCCCAGCTACTCAGGATGTGGACCTTTGAGGATTAGTGATCCAAGATCAACTCAGACAAAAACAAAGCCTAGAAGCCAATCTGGGAAACAAACTAGAGGCAAAAGGCCACTAAGTGTGACTCAAGTGGCAAAGTGCTTGTCTCACAAGCATGAGCCCTTGGGTTCAATACCCAGTACCACACACCCATGCACACACACCCCCCGCCCCCCCCACAGGGAGAGGGAGTAAGAGAGAGACAGACAAACAGACAAAATATTCTAAGGGATTTACCGCATAACATATAGTAGTAATGATGATGGGAAGACAGAGGAAATATTGTCCCACATGACATCAGAGAGTTGTAGGAGAGATTTCCATTTTCTCCACCCATCTTATTCCAAGGATATAATCATGAACAAAGGTTCAGTCCACCTGATAGTTGAGAGTTAGGTAGAGTATAAACAGGGAACTGCCTCCTTATTCTTTAGGCCTTTCCTCATCTGATGGCTTTACACTCTTCACTAACTATACCCAATCCCTACCTCTGCATGGGCTGGGCTTCTCTCTCTCTCTCAGTATTCTTTCTCTATGCTCTTGAGAGTCTAGCCTTGTGATTTCCAGGAGGTTTTCACCCCATGGAAAACACTGGCAGGACAGAATGACAGTGTCAAAGTGTCTCTGCTAGCTTTCTTCTGAGCAAGTGGTTATTATGAAGCTGCTTCCTTTTGCTGAAAATCACAGCTGCTACCAGCTACTGTCCATACAGCTACTGTCATTGAATTCCATAGTGGCCTCCTCCTCTTGCCCTTACAAACCAAGAAGGAAATGGCTTCCCAATTTTACTGTCCCTTGAGCAAAGCACTAGCTTTTGTCGATTAGCCTAAACCCTGTCTATAAATAGTTGTGTTTTAAATAGTTTCTCCCTCAGAAAAGCTCTTCCTTCTACTCACCTTGGCTATTTTGTTTGAAAGTACTATGTGTTTCCTGCCAGGACCCTAACCAATGCTTTGTGTACCTCTACCTCTAAACAGCCTGTCTACTCTTAGATGCCAACTCAGTTGATCCTTCCTCAGCTTTCTGCCTTGATTTACCTAGTCTGTATCACCCTCTTCAATCCATCAGTCAGGTGTCATGCTTGTATATAACTCTTCCATGGCAGTGGGAAAGCCCTGAGAGTTGAAGAATATATTCAACTCATTCTAACACCCTTAGCAAATTGCAGAGAAACTTGAAGAGTTAGTGAGAGAGAAGAAGAAAGGGGGGAAAGGGGTTTAGGAGAGGAGGACAGAGAAGAGAGAGAAAAATCAGTAGTACATGAGGAGAGACAATGGAGAGAACATGACCCCTGGATAAGAAACATTCAGTTCTTTACTAAAAAATCACCTAGATAATGTCAATTTAATTCTCAGTGCTTCTGTTTAAAGTTCCATCCTTTCGCCTTTCTTTCCTTCCCTCTTTTTCCTTCCATCCTTGCTTCCTCCCCTCCTCCCCCCTTTTGGTTTCAAGTCACAAAGTATGTGTTTCTCTGTAACCTTCCACAGTTTTCTCTCTGTTTATAGGATAGCTGATCTGGCTAGAACCCAGTAACCTCCAACCTCATCAGGAAATGACACAGGACCCAATGGGGCTCACTCTGGGCACACAGCTATCCCAGGCTGTGAACAAACAGGCCCTGGTGTGAGTGGTCACAGCACTGGCACAGGGCCACTTGCAGACATTCTGGGTATGCAGTCTCGTGACTGAGAATGAGAAGGCCTTTGGAATCTGCTGCTATTGTCTGCTGATTGCGAATTCTCTGGAACCTGAGGCCCCATGGCCACTCCATGGTGCTCTGAAAAGGACAGTTAACCCTGGGTCATGACCCAATGGCACTCACCAGGTTTCCTCCAGGGCTTTATAAAATCCACCAACCCTATCATCGCTGTACTCTAATTGTGCTTCTAATTGTTCGGTATATTTAAAAATGGATTTCCCCCTTTAGCCAGGTACCAGTGGCTCATACCTGTAATCCTAGTTACTGAAGGGACTGAGATCTGAGGATCATGGTTCAAAGGCAGCCTGGGCAGAAATGTCTGTGAGACTCTTCTCCAATTAGCCAGTGAAACACTGTAAGTGGAGCTTACAGCAAAAAAGCTAAGGGGCAGAGTCTAGGCTTTGAGTTCAAGCCCCAATACTGGCACAACACACACACACACACACACACACACACACACACACACACACACACACATTCTTCCTTCAGTTGGGGCTTTGGATTTGCCAGGCCTGGGTTTGAGTTGAAGTTTTCCGTATATAAGCAGGGAGACTTTCATCTTTCCGAATCAACACAATGCAGTGAAGGGCCAAGTGCTTCCTAACCCTTGGGAGGGATTGAGTGAACATTTGTTGCATGGATGGGTGAATGAGAAAACAAATGGATGGAACAAATGGTTTCATGGCCATTGGCTATAACCCATTTCCTTTCACATCCACTCCGCCCTGACACAGAGACACTATGGGATGATGCTAGCACAGTACAACATGCACTACACTGATCCCAGAAACCTTGCCTTTGAGAACAGCCTACTGACTTTTCTGACCCATGAACGTGGCTAAGTCATTGTACTAGGTAAGACTCCTCTACGCCCCCATCAGCTGAATATAAATGTCAAACTCATGTGTTGTTTCTCTGGTCAAGTCCTAGCAAGGTCCAAATGTAAGCAGAGGTGACAATGGTTCATGAATAGGAAAGGAATGGCCACACACCCTGGCTCCTTCTCATATGCACTCAGCATGTCTTGGTGCCCAGGTGAGAGTCTAGGAGCTTTCCTGGTGCCCGGAGAGCGAGATGATGTGCTTTCTGACCTGCTGCCAGCATTACCATTCCTCTGTCCATAGGTATGCTGCCTGCCTGTGAACCAGAGGTTCTGGCTTTTTTTTTTTTTAAAGAGAGACCTAAAGAGAAGTGTCAGCAGAAAACCTGCCGAGGTTGGCAAATGTGTTTGTGTCATCAGCAAGTCCAGGGTCCTGTGCGTTGGACAGAATGGAAAAGTTCAGCATAAATCTGGGAAAAACAGGAAAGTTGATGTTGACTGTTTCTCTGGCTGAAACTAGTGCCTTTGGGTCCCACATCAAATGTAGGTCACCCTGAAATTCACCTTGGCGTTGCATGTTGAGATTGCTGGTTGAAGTGGACTAAGCATCTGAGAGAGAAATCAGAGAGTAGCCTCTCTATGGTTGCCAGCTTACAAGCCACATAAGAGAAGTACCTTCTGTCTTCTATGTCCTCCCTTTACCCCAGCCCCATTTCTGATGTCCAAATTATATCTAGCCTTTAAAATATATTTTTGTTTTGTGGGGCTGGGAAGGTGGCTCAGTGGTAGAGTGCTTGCCTTACATGTATGAGGCCCTGGGTTTGTTTCCTCAGCACCACATAAGTAGAAAAGGCTGGAAGTGGCGCTGTGGCTCAAGTGGTAGAGCGCTAGCCTTGAGCTGAAGAGCTGAGGGACAGCGCCCAGGCCCAGAGTTCAGGCCCCACGACTAACAAAAACTAACAAACAAAAACAATAAAAAACATTTTTATGTATATTTAAGGGTTGTACTATGATGTTATAGGATATGTTTAGGTTGCAAAAAGATTATTAGAAGAAAACTAGAATACATAACATCATCTTGCATAGTTGCCTTTTTGTGCAAGAAAAACTGAAACCTTATTTAGCATAAATTCTAAATATAATAAAATTATGTTGTCTACACTCTTCATGTTATACACTAGATTTCTAGATTTGCTCTATTATGCCTCAATTAACACCTATTCTTGAACACCTTGCTGAAATGCACTTTGACAAAAGTCAAGCTACAACTCAGCTGTTTCTCTTTGCTCTCTGATCTCACTTCCTGAACACCACAGACCATATACCAAACAGCTTTCCTTCAATAAGGAATAACAATTGTGCTTATTGAGAAGGAACTGATGGAAAGAGACTGAAGTTTAATACACCCTCTCTCAGCCTTTAGCAAACTAAAAAAGCAAGTACTACAATCATTCCACTTTTGTAGATGTAGGAACAGGTTCTGAGAGGCTGTGGAGTAAGGGAGTAACAGAGCTGAGCTCTGAATCAGTTTCTACCAACACTGTATCCAATAGAACTCTCTTTGATGATGGAAGTGTTCCATGGTGTTCTGTCTGTAAACCCGATGTGGCAACTGGGTGTTTGAAATGTGGCTGGTGCAACCCAGAAATTGGATTTTCAGTTTCATTGAATTTGAACTGACCTAAATGTCCTCACATGTGACTAGGAACTAGTACATTGGATTGGCATAGCTCTAACCCATTCAATGATACACAGTACCACAGCTATTTGTATTCAGTGCATGTCAACCTGTTTATACTCAGCTCTTTGAGAAGAGATTTTTTTTTGTTGCTGTTGTTGGTCTTGGGGTTTGAACTCAGGGACTGGGTACTGTCCCTGAGTTCTTTTGCTCAAGGGTAGTGCTCTACCACTTTGAGCCACAACACCACTTCTGGTTTCAACCACTTTCCTCTGGTTATTTGGACGTAAGAGTCTCATAGACTTTTCTGCTCCAGCTGGCTTTGAACCGTGATTCTCAGATCTCAGCCTCCTGAGTAGTTAGGATTACAGGCATGAGCCACCAGCGCCTGGCCTGTGAGATGTTCTTACCAGCCAATGATAAATACTGAATCATTTCCTCTACAATGAACTTCTAGATAGCTCTATGTGGTTTCCCTGATGACCTGAGTAATAATAGAATTGCGTTGAAGCTGCTGCATGCACTGAAAAATTGTCCTCACCCACACAGGCCTCAGATGCCACATCTATCAAACGGAAACATCCTGTGTTGTTCTAGAGTGTGCACGCTCCGCCCAAGAGGGGCTTACCTGTGTGGAGAGTCGGGATCAAAGCAGGTCTCGGTGACATTGGTGATGTTGGGGTCACAGCACTCCCCACCATCGAAGTTGAAGCGTTCGTAGTTGCAGTCCATGTCGCATACGCCGTTCTGCTGCTTCTTCATGAAAGCTGGGTAGCGCAGGTGCCGGCAATCCCCGCCGTCATGGCCGGTCAGCGTGTGGTTACACTCAGGATCACAACTCTCATCCCCGATCTTGCTGATGTCACAGTTGGCTAGGATAAGGCGGTGACGCAGGGAGGAGTTATTCACCTCCAGCACCTCCAGCTCCCAGGAGATGTTGTAATGCTGGAAGGCCTCGGCCAGCTGCTGGTGCTGGAAATCCACCTGCTGGCGGCTCACGGTTGGGTTCTCATGGTCATCATCGTAGAGGTTGACCACGCGGTAGCGCACCACCTTCGGCTGGCGGAATCTGGGGAGCTGGTTGTAGCTGGCGATGACCTCTTTGTTGTCACACAGCGTCTGCCCGCACAGAGGGGGCTCCAGATTCGTGTCCAGCAGGAAGCCGTGGGCATTACTAAGCTCCACTCGGGGGCTGTGGCCATCTTTCATGGGGGACCAAATGCGTTGCACATTGTCCCAGTTCTCCTGGAGGAGGAGCTGAGGTAGAGGGGTGTAGAGGCCATGATTTTCCATGTCCAGTAGTATCTCTCGCTGAGTCCTGGCCACCTTCCAGAGACGGAAGTGCTCGATGTAGCCTCGGTAGTTGTGACTCAGAGTGCTGCCCCCCAGCATGAGCACTTTACACTTCTGGGTCAGTGGGCTGAATATGCCACCCACTTGCCCTCCGGAATTCGCCACCTGGGCACCATTCACATAGAGCTTCATCAGCCGTCCATCATAGGTGGCAGCTAGAAATACCCACTGGCCTGGGAGGTAGCTGCGATGGGCATTGATGGTAGTCACTTGCCGGGCCCGGTCTGTCTTCAAGGAGAAAAAGTAGCGTGGGTCTCTGTTGCCTTGATCACCGACGGTGTGAATGCCCACGACCCATCCTTGATCACGCGAGGTATAAGAGCATTTGTCATACAGCCCTAAGTGGCCCCAAAAGAGAAAGATGAATAAACAAAAGATGGAGGGAAAGGTGGGTGTTACTCCCCCCCCCGATAAAATTCTACCTCAGGTGGTCCTAATTTCAAACTGCTTTGTGGAATCCTGGCAGTTACTAATGGTGCCTCTGGGACCGCCCCAAGGGTGGTTTATACCAAGGGTTAAAGAAACTGAGAAGCGAATAAATTGGGTTTGGAGCCATTACATCATAGCCCCAACCCACGCAGATTCATTTTGAATGGTTTTGAATATGGAGGGTGTGAGGGAGTTTCTGGTTTGCAGAATGGGTACATCAGCTAAAGGAAACACAAGAACAATAGCAATAACAGTGATACAAATCTGAAGAACACTGTTTCTTTTGTGAAAGTTCAGGCGAAGAATACTTTCTAATTAATAGGAACTTTTAAGTGGGGGATGATATGTGAGGTAAGAGGAGAAATAGCAGATTATAACAGAAGGTGCTCATTTAGAGGACATTTGTGTATACACCTGTCATTGGCAGTCATTGAATGATCTGTAGAGTTGAATTTGGGAGAATGGTAAGGTCAAGGGTTGAAAAGATAAGCACTTTGGTTGGTTCCCCCCAAAAAGGTTGACATTCTCTGGGTGCTGGTGGCTCATGCTTGTAATCCTAGCTACTCAGGAGGCTGAGATCTGAGGATCATGTTTCAAACCCAGCCCAGGCAGGAAAGCCCATGAGACTCTTATCTCCAATAAGCCACCAGAAAACTGGAAGTGGCGCTGAGGCTCAAGTGGTAGAGCGCAAGCCTTGAGCTGAAGAGCTGAGGGACAATGCTCAGGCCCAGAGTTCAAACCACATGACTGCCAAAAAAAAAAAAAAAGGTTGACATTTAACAGCCAAGCTGGGAAGTTATTGAAAATCATCACTTTCACCTCCTTCATTTTACAGATGAAGGCGCTAAGACCGAAAGAGTGGAAGGCATTTGTGAGGTTACACAGAATCATTCACAAATCTCTTGAGACTCATGTTAGCTTGCTCTTCTCTAACAATAATCCTTATATAACGTATCTCTATCTATCTATCTATCTATCTATCTATCTATCTATCTATCTATCTATAATCTATTTCTCTACCTGCCTATCCTCTTAATATGAGATGTTGCCTTTAAAATGGTAACAATTGTCAAAATCTACAGAGGTAAGCCAGGCATACTAAAGTCTGAATGAATCAGTTCTATATTGAAATCATACCTCCAGCCAGGCTTTTTACTGGCTATTTTGAAATTGGAGTCTCATAGTTTTTTCCTACCTGGATTATTTCTAAACTTCAGTTTCCTCTAGCTCTCAGCCTCCTGAGTAGTTAAGATTTCAAGCATGAGCCACCACCACCCAGCTTTGAATGACTTCTTTAATACATTTATGCAACATCCTCATGGCAGTGTTATTAAAGTTTCTCATAAGTGATGATGGGTAAGGAAATTAAAAGAGAGGAAGAGACAAGTTCAAAGTCAATTAGTCAGTAGATTCTATAAGACCCTGGAATTCACTGTCCTGTGTGATAATTCCATAACACCTCTCACCCTTTCACTGGTGCCAACAGGGATTTGGACCACATCATCGACTTGGAGAGGAGGGGTGCCACAAGTTTTAGTTAGGTGTTTGAGGGTGTTCCAGGCTAGGCATCCATAGACTTACTCTGGGAACTCCAGGAAGTAGCTTAGTGGATTGTCTCTGGATCTAATTATCTTTACACTCACCAGCCCCTTGCTCCCCAGCCTTTTCTGGAATATACCCAATGTCCTTGGCACAGACAAAGGTGTTGGATGGGGAAGAGGACTTGCTAATTAAGAGTGCATTTTAAGTGTCAGATGCTGCATGAAGCCAGGTGGGAGGAGAAAAGAGAGGGAGATGAGGATGAATAAAAGATGCTCATTGAGGAGGACAGGCCCTACTCACTAGAGAATTTTTGCAGTCACCATAACTGTGTGTGCATCTGCCATTAATGCTCATCAAATGAACATGGAGAGCATCCAGCAGAATCAATAGAGGAGGCCCACACAATCCTTACTGCTCTGCTGGCACTGGGACCTTAGAGTTTGTGTAAAAATCTCTGTGTGAGGAATTGACATGACCAGCATTTTGGCTGAGGATCTAAGCTTTCCTACGTCTCTTCCACTCCCTGACCCAAGCCAACGGTATTTCAGGGAATGTCTCGAGTCTACTAACAACACAGTCATCCTGCTCCTGTAGTCTGGGTCACTTTGTTGGAGAACCAAGTGCCTTTTCTGGTCCTCAGTGATCCATCTAGTAAAGGAGGGGTTTGGATGAGGTTCCTTGTCACAAACTCAATCTGAATCTGATTTTCTTTCTTCCAGACTTCCCAGTGACTAACACACAAGGCACTTCTTCCCAGAAGTTCTCCCCGATCATCCTGAGTGGAGAAAGCACGGTCTCCTCTGTACCCACTTTACTTTTAGGAAACTTGATGTGGGTTCTTTGGTTTTGGAGTTGCCTGTGCCTACCCCGTTGTCTCCTCTCTGGATGTTTCCTGAGAATGCTAACTATGTCTGGTGATCTCTATTATTTTTCCCCAGCACCTTGCTACAATAGGCACTCAGAAAGTGTCTCGTGAATGATTCGGTCCAATTTTGAACAGTGAGGTTAAAGCAAAACAGGGACATTCAGGACATAAAAATACCAAAGGCACTAATTTTTGTCTCTGTGACTAATGGTCAGAGAGTCAGAGGACAGAATGTGTTCCTGGTGGGGGTGGGGAAGAGCAGGCTCTTTGGACTTGAGGTAATCGCTTTTGAATTCTGATGACAGCAATTACTAGCTGAATATCTGGGGCAAAAATGGAACTTTTGCACTTTGCCTCTGTGGAACTTCATTTCCTGCTCCGTGTCTTTCTTTAAACATGCTGTCATACTTAAAAGACAGTGAATAGAGTAGCGTTGGCATAAAATGGCAATACAGATGGGAGTTCATTTTTGGGATGCTGGCAGGTCTAGGAGTAAAATTAAGGATGAAAATGTAGGAAATGACTGGAAACTATATACGTATATACATATATATATACATATATATATGTGTGTGTGTGTGTGTGTGTGTGTGTACCCTGAAGGCATCTCATTTAATGTGTTAAGAGCTAGAATGAAGGCTTAGATATAGCCCAAGTCCTCCTCAAACTCACTGGCAAAAAAAAAATGACTTTACAGATCTTAAATCCCCATTAGCTTAGATGATAGTAAGAAATGACAGTCCCTCTGACAAAGATCTGATTCCAGATTTAGAACGAGTTGCCCCAGATTGCTCTTATTGGTGCCCACTTTGTGAATCAGCAGGGCACAAAGGTTCTGGAAGATACCTGGCTCATGCTTAATCTTTAGCTTAAGTTCTCTCCTTCCCCCACCTATCTTCTCCCCACTAAAAATAAAATGTGAAGGGTCTCTTAATAAGGAAATTAAAATCTGAAACAGGACTCTTCCCACATCCCTCCTCCCCACTGAAGTTTTTTATTTTTCCAGGGGCTCCCAGTGCCTGGTTTTCCTGTTGCCCTTGGAAGCCCAGTTCCCTGGTTAGCAAGGTAAAATGTTTATACATCGGTAGGGTGCCCTCACCTCAGAACCTTCCAGAGGCTGCAGACTCAAGCTCAGGCCGCCCCTCTTCTCTTCACAGTTGAGAGAAAAGAGGCAAGGAATGAGAAAAGCCAGATGCTGTAAACATACAGCTAAGAGTAAGAGGTAGTTTAGCCCCGGGGGGCAGAGAGGACAGGCAAAGAAGGGTTTTCAGTACAACCAAGGAGGAAATACATTAAGGGAAATGAGAACCTTGAAGCACTGACTTCAGGAATTCAGAGGGCTACATTTGCCTGGAGTCTAAGTGGCAAAAGGAAACCACTGATGGGTTAGTATTAATGGTGATGGGCCTTTATTTCCACAAGAAAATATCTGAATTCACCGAATTCACATTCCAATGGTTGGATGAATGGGAAGTACCTCTGGAGCATCAACCCAGGACCAGGAATCGGACACCAAAGATATAGATTTGGCATGCCAAGTCACTTTTCCTGGATACAAATCACACCAGCTTTTTTTTGTTCCATGGCCTCATGGAACTGTTAAAGTAGGGATCCAGATGAAATGATCTCCCACTAGAATTTAAGAACTCTTTTGTTCATGGTTTTGTTCCTGGTATGTAGAAGCTACTCAGAAATCTGTGTTCATTTGAATGACAACCTTACTCCATTCCATACTGCTGCATGCTCCGGTTCCCTCTCCTCCAATTCTCTCCATATAGGTCACAGAACATGATTCTCTGAGGAAACACGGGTATAAGTATGCCTCCTTTCTCTGTCTTTCCCTACAGTTGTTGAGCAAGATAGAGACATGGCTTAAAATGGCGCACGGTCATTTGAACCATCTTGGAACTAGAGAATAATCCTGGGGTCATACTCTCACTCAACAAGGTAGAGGGCCACATACCACTCCGCATGTAATCTTCATATCATTGGCAAACACCTGCCTCCGATTATGACCCTGTAGAACTAGACAATACAAATGTCAAGAACCATTTTGTAGGCTAATAAAGTATCAGGTCACAATGTCTAGAAGGAGAGGAATTGGGCTCCATGTGTGGAAAAGGGCTTCTTCTGGGCCTCCTGTTAAGGCTTTGGTCATTGGAACCCTGGTTGGTTGGCCTTTTTTTTATTTGGTCAGTACTGGGATTTGAACTGAAGGCTTGGGTACTTTTGCTTAACTTTTTCACTCAATGCTAACGCTCTACCAATCAGGGCTTTTTGTTGGTTCATTGGAGATAAGAGTCTTATAGAGTTTTCTGCATGGGCTGGCTTCAAACCTTGATCCTCAAATCTCAGCCTCCTGAGAAGGAGGGTTACAGGCATGAGTCATTGATGCCCAGTGCCTGATGGTTTCTTATACAGGGTTCTATTTTTAGAATGTTTTAAATGTTCACCTGCATTCATGTATGTGATGTCCTTGAATTATGATTACATTTCCATTAT